GGAGCATTTTTTAAATAGAAAGTCATGGGTACTACCTTCTGAGGAAAGCAGAATGTGACTAGAGGAGGGCATTGTTCCATTGCAAGAGAAACTGTTCAGTCAGCACATTATTAGGCAGGTTTATGTGGAGAAAGTCTGGGGTAAACTTGCCATGCTTGCATGGAAGTAGGGCGGGGAAATGGTGCTGAGTTTGAAAATATACTGTCAAGTATTCCTTATTGCAAGCACTCCTGATTTCAGCATTCTGTCAGTGATTCATGGTTAATCTTGTTAAGTAGCCCATCCCTCTCTGCTTACTTGGAATTCCAGGTGAGAGACCAGAAGGCATGTGACTTGGGATCTGTCAGCTCCACTCCTGATGTGTATTCAAGAGGCAGGAGGACTGGGGCTGCATTGCCTGGCTTACTTTAAAACAGAATTGTGTTATCATCTGCTTTTGCCTGGAGACTACTTGGTGTATTATTAAATGTATTAGCTTATTCATCTCTAGTCCTGCTGGACCTGCCCATCCCCAACCCAGCTTATATAGACTCACTTACTGGTGGCCTGCCCAATGGTAAAGAATTGTGCTGTCAACCCAAAGGCTCTTGGTTTGAATCAGCCAGCTGCTCCTCAGGTGAAAGATGGACAGTCATCTTCTATGCGATTTACTGCCTCAGAAAACCTACTGGAGGGTCAGCTACGAGTCAGTCCCGACCCATTTGGTACACAGCCACAACAACAACAACTCCTTTTATGATCTGCATAGAATTTCAGCATTTAATCAGATCACTAGTTTGTGGTTATTTAGCATCTCTCACTTCCTTTTACAAAATTGAAGACACTTTTTAGTTATCTGTACTTGGATCAAGAGGCAGTAGTCAGAACAGAGCAGGGTAACACTGCATGGTTCAAAATTGGGAAGGGTGTATGCCAGGGATGCATCCTGTCTCCATACCTTTTCAACGTGTATGCAGAGCAGACTATCCAAGAAGCTGGGCTCTATGAGGAGAATCGTGGCATCAGGATTGGTGGAAGATCTATTAACAATCTCCGTTATGCAGATGACACAACCCTGCTTGCTGAAACTGAGGAGGACCTCATGCACTTGCTGCGGAGGGTCAGGGACTGCAGCCTTCAGTATGGACTGAGGCTCAATGTCAAGAAGACAAAGATTCTCACCACTGGACCAATTGGTAGCATCAGGATGGATGGCGAAGAGATTGAGATTGTTCACAGCTTCAGTTTGCTCGGCTCCACGGTTAACATTCTTGGCACCAGCAGTCAGGAAATCAAGAAGCATATCGCGATGGGAAAGTCTGCTATTAGAGACCTCTCTAAAGTACTCAGGAACAATGGTGTCTCTCTGGAGACTAAGGTGCACCCTGATACAGGCCATGGCATTTGCAATCGCTTGTTATGCATCAGAGAGTTGGACAGTGACTAGGGAGGACAGAAGGAGAGTGGATGCTTTTGAGCTGTGGTGCTGGAGAAGAGTACTGAATGTACCATGGACTGCCAGGAAAACAAACAGATTCATCTTGGAGAGGATTAAACCAGGCTGCTCCTTGGAGGCAAGGATTCTGGGGCTTCGTCTGACATACTTTGGACATGTTGCCAGGAGGGACGGGTCCTTGGAGAGGGACATCATGCTTGGGAGGGTGGAGGGACAGCACAGGAGGGGAAGACCCTCTATGAGATGGATTAACTCGGTGACTGGGGGAATCAGGATGGGTGTGTCGGAGGCAGTGCGGTTGGCGCAGGATAGAGCAGGGTTTAGGGCTGTTGTGCATAGGGTCGCTATGAGTAGAAAACGACTCGACGGCACATAACAACAACAACAGTCATCTTTAGGGAGCTCTGGTGGCCTAGTGGTAAGAGACTCGGCTGCCAACCCAAAGGCAATAAATTGCACAGGAGGAGATTGGCTATTTCTCTCCCATGGAGCTGCTGGTGGATTCGTACTGCCAGAGAGATACTCCCTTTGGATTAGCAGTGGAACTGCCTACCAGTTACACTACCAGGGCTCCTTCCGAGTGTGGATTCTAAGCAGCATTGTTCATATTTTTTATTTCTTTTTCTTATAAGACAGCCTTTCTCCTTATGCAGTTTGATACTTGGATTGATTAATTTATGTACACTTGCCAAAATTCCCTGATTTCAGTTTAGAAGCACATTGAGGCAGGATGTTTTCTGTAAGAGAAATCTATCCTTAATTTTATTGCCATCTGAAACCATTTCTTTACATAAAAAGCAAATAATATCTGGCTAAGATTCTTTAAAAGAAATCTTTTGGGGGTTTTTTTAACTTCCATAAATATTTTAGTATCATCTTTTATATAGTGCTTTTTTAGAATGTTGTCCTTCTGCTGAAGGTACCTGGAAGAGAAGAGCATTAATATCCAGACTTTTTGTAGGGCCTTCAACTTCTCCACCTCAATTCACAAACATAGATGTCTTAACTCCCTTACATAACAATTACGGAATGAGTTCTGAATAAAACAGTCAACATACATTTATTTTTTTTTAACTTACTTTCTTTCTCCTTAGACATTTTGTTGTATTTACAGAAATATGTGTCTAAATATTCTTCTTCTTGAGTTTTTATATTGTAAAAAACATGAGATTAACACTTCAGGTAAAATGTACACTGCCACCCCTTCCTAAGCAGGTTGATTTAAATGGAATTTCACATTAAGAGGAATTTTGGGGAAATTTTTTGCTCCTGTTTATTTCAGTAAAGTTATGCAGATCTGTTTGTTTCACTATACAATGATTTGGGGGATGAGGAACAGAGAGTAGAAGTAGCCAGTAGCGTTGTTCTTACTTGTGTTGTGACTGACTTATTTTTATTTCTCTTTAAATTTTAACTTAAGAGTTAAAAGAGTATTCAGTCTCATGTTAGATGCTTGTTTTCATTAATGCAAAATTCTGTATATAAACGCTTATTATTGTTGTTGCTTGGTTCATTAGAACCATTTCAGACTAAAGACAGTGGAAACACTACCTGGCCCTGTGTCATTTTCACAGTTGTTGCTATGTTTGGACCCATTGTTTCAGCCACTGTGTTAGTCCACCTCCTTAAAGTACTTCATCTTTTTGGCCAGCCTGTTTACAAAGCATGATATTCTGCAGGAACTTGCCCTTCCTGATAACATGTCCAAAGTACAGAAGACCAGGTCTCATCCTTACTTCAAAGGAGCATTCTCCCCCTCCTTCTTCCAAAACAGATTTATTTATTACCTCCAGTATAATACTTTTATTGCAAAAGCATCAGCCTACCAGTCACAGTGTATTTATTGAGTTCTGTTGTTTGTGCTTTAGAAGGAAGTGATTAAATATAATGAAACATGTTGATGTCACATTTGCTGTTAATTTCCCAGTTGGCCCTACCTTCACACATTGGTTGTTTCATCCAATTCCTTTGACATAGGTTAAATCCTATGACTCAAGTGATTTTTTTCTAACTTTTTCAAATTGAGAATTTTAACCCTTTTATTAAAAGAACTAGAAAAGCAGTTACAAGAATGCATATCTTGTAGTACAGGTAAATATCGTTTGGTAGAACTTCTACTTCAGTTAGATATTTTTGCTTCGTGCATATGCACACATGCACAAACCTGAATATTGAATCATGGTATACGAGGTGGGTTTTTTTTCTTTTTTCCTTGCTGAGTAAGCAGTTAAAAAATGCCAGTTAAGAATTAGAAAAATATTTTTTAAAAAAGAATTATAAAAATATTCAACTGACTGATTAACTTAGTAACTATATGATGGTATTAAAATGACCCAAAGAGTTTATGAGGAGAGGTATGTGTCATATATGCTTAACAGAAGTAGATGGACAAACACTGTTAGAATGATTCATTCCAGTCAGCTTTCAGAAGATAAAGCCAAGTAAGCATTTAAACAGTAGTTTTCAACCTTAAAATTGATCACTTGTGCCAGATAATTCATTTCAAGACCTACAACTCACTTCTCCAAGTAATATACTCTATCTCAAATTCTTGGCTGCTTCCTATGTATCACCTAAAGGATGTGCCCACTGGGGAAGGGGATTTGGGAGGCAGTGACTTCGTTCCCGGCTCCACTCAGTCATGCCTTCCTCCCATGTTCATAAACTTTCCTGGAATCAAGAGAACCCTCCTTTAGGAAGGAGACTGAATCAAAAACAGACTGTGTATGTGTTCCTGGTAAGCAAATGCCTTGTCTTTACCTTTCACGTGTTTCAGTCTATAACCCGTTTCTTCCCGAATATTACTATACTCAGTATGGTAATAAGCCTTCTCTTCCGGATCTTTGCTCTGAGCAGTCCTTCTTTTATGACATCCACTCTCATAGTTTTGTTTGTGTCAGCTTTACCTCTAACTAGTTATTGACAGTTCACATATTAAGTAGTATAGTTTTGATTCTGCTTTTTCACAAACCTTTGAATTTCCTAGATTCCTAAGCTTGCCCTTTTGCATTCATCTTTATGAAACAATGTGAATGGAGAATAGTGTGAAACACAATGTATACAAGCTTTGTAAGCAAACCAATTTTTTTAAAAAGTTACTTATATATATATGTATTTTTTCCCCTCCTTCCTATCCAGAAGCTGGTGGGGGGAAAAATTAAAGTCTTTATAACTTGATGAAGCATAACATGAGAGAACAGTACAGGATTTCTTCAGAAGTAATTCCTTAAGGTGTCAAAGCCTTGCTCTAGGGAACTTACAAAGTAATTCTATTAAGACTGTAGGAGATGGATTGATCCAATGACTGGAGATCAGGATGAGTGTGTTGGAGACAGTGAGATTGGCACAAGACAGAACAGAGTTTAGGGCTGTTGTACATAGGGTCGCTATGAGTCGCAAGCAACTCGACGGCACATAACAACAACATTAAGACTTATATAAAAGAAAAACAGGAACTATGATGGGGCATTTCTGGGACTGCCCTACACTTCTCTTTCATTTACATCATCCAGTTAACAAATTACAAATGCCTTCTTTATTTTAATGGAAGTGTTTTGTTGCTTAGAAAACAGCAAGTGGCCACTGAATATAACAGGAAACAAGTTCTGCGACACTGCTTTGCAGAATGGCAGCATTGGCATCGTGTGGAGATCCAAAAGAGAGCTCTGGCTCTAACGAAAGAGGAAACCAGGAGGAAAATGGATGTGCTGCTGAAAGCAGCTTCACTCGGGAAGCTCACCGCGAATGAGTCTTCACACAGAAGTGGTCTGCTTGAGAAGGCAGCGACCTCTCTGGATCCATCTGGAAGAAGTGGAGAGGTACATTGTTTTTCCTCTGTTTGGTCTTCCTGCTTGTTAAACATTTGCACTTGAACTTTGCATTTTTGTAGCCAGGATGTGTCAAGGTTGTCAGATTGCATTGCCTGGGCATTCTAAAAGATTAGAACTGCTATGAGGCATAGAGTTTTACCTTCCAGTCAGGGTTTATTTTTCTTGAAATGAATCTCTTTCTGTAATCCCATATAAACTTGGTTGGGACTTTATGAGGACATAATGTACAGAGGGAATTTAAAGCAATTAAGTGAAAGACCCTTCAGGAACAGATAGGTACAGGTTTATTTAGAATTCCTAAACTCCTCTGATTAGATTTCTAGATGTTTCCTTTATAAGTGAACTTGAGACTTACAAGAGAGCAGATTTTTAAATTTTATTTTTCTAATAAAAAGAATAATTGTAGCTATTTGATAGGAGAAAAATAGTTATGATTTCATCACCCTGGAGATAATTACCATTAAGATGCTGATGTACAGCCAGCTAGTCTCTTCTCTATTCAGGATTATGCAAATTTTTTTCTTTTAATATAGCTTTGAGATTTTCTTCAATCAGGTCAGTGAGGATATCCTCTGCCATAATAGAGGAAAATGAAGGCCATGACTTTTTCTTTTTAATAGTTATATAATTATTCTGCTTTTCTTCCCTTGAATTATCACAGGCTAGCATGAACGTTTTTCATTTCACTAAAAACTATTCTGCGAAAAATAGTTCCCAACCGAAAGGATTCTACAAACCTAGACATACCAAGACTCCTGAGTATGGGGCCCTTGTGTGTTTTCATATGTCCACAAGTGAGCCTGATGGTTAAGGATGGCCATCATCATTTTATAAGTGTTGCATAATACTTTATCTTACACCATAAAATAGAATTGATTTTAACTCATCTCTGCTGTGGATATCTAAATTATTTGCTGTAAACAGTACTTCAGTGAATATCAAACCCAAACTGACTTCCACAGAGTTGAGTACAAGTCATGATAACTGTCCGTTGGGTTTCCAAGGCTGCAGATCTTTTTGGGAGGAGACTTCCCATCTTTCTCCCACAGAGCAGTTGGTGGATCTTTCCATTGCCAACCCTTGCACACATCCATGATTCTCTACCTGGAATAAACATCTACTTAGAGAATGTAAAAAGTGCCTCCTTTTCTGCATGATTACATGTTTTTTTACTCTTTGCTCAATTGTCACATACAAGTTTGTTCATGTTGTTTATTCAAAATTTGCATTTCTTCTGTTATATTGAGAGGTTAAACTTTATATTAGTCATCTAAATAGATGGAGCTAGAGAGACACAGTGATTTGTCTCTTCATATCTTTTGTCTGTTTTTCTGTTCAATTATCATTTCCTTATTTACAAGAGCTCTTTATAGATTTAAGATTATCAGTGCAAATAGTTTTTCCAATTATTCCCATGCTTTGTTGATTTATTTATGGTGCTCCATCCTATCCACATTTGTTCATTTTTTTAAGAAGATAGTTTATGCTTCGGTAGTAGTGTTAACTGTCATGCTTAGAAAGCCTTTTAAAGAAGGTCATTGCCCTCTCTTCAGTTACCCCTCCCTGCAATACTGTTAAATACTAGCTTAGACTCGTAATTAAGTTGGGCACTAGAGGGTCCCAGTCTTGCTTTTACCCTGATTACTGCTAGCAGGATAGGCTGATTTTAATTTAAATTTAGTCTCTCAGCAAACAGGGCATCATGAGGATGCTTATTGGGACTTATATAACATTTTTGGTCCCTTCCCCTAGGCAATTTATCAACCTTTATGTCAGTTAGATAATTTTGTCTTCATGGAAACCCAGGAGAGGCTTCTATCTTAAGAAATAGCTGTGTGGAACATTTCAGCTTACAAAGTTCTACTGTTAGTATCTTTAAAGGAGGCAGGGGGGAAGTCAACAGAAAGTGGGTTTTTTTAACCTATCCAAAACAGTGTGTGTGTGTGTGTGTGTGTGTATCATCGCGATCTATATAAATCATATACATATGGAACTTTGGTGGCCTACTGGGTAACGCAAAGGCAGGTGGCCTGTGCTAAACCAAAGGCAGATGGTTCAAATCCACCAACTGCTTTGAGGGAGAACAGTAGACAGTCTTCTCCTGTATGATTTACAACCTCTGAAAACCCACCTGAGTATCTAGTATAAGTTGGTTTTGACTCTACAGCACATAGAACGGCAATCATGTGCATACACACGTCCACACACACACAACTTAACTAAAAAAGAGGCCTGTAGAGCTCTGTAATCAGTAGCAGAAAATTTTATCAAGAAAAGAATATGTTAAAAAAAAGAGAGCTAATGAAAATTCAGGGCTATAATAATCTCTCTAGGTTACTTGATAAACTCTAATTACTTTTCCAAAGTGTAGAGTATAACTTGAACAAATGAAAATACAAAATCTTTAGTTAGGTGCTTATTAATTATATATTCATAGGAACTCAGGTACCAGGAACACACGTATTATACCTTGAAATTTTTCAAAATTATCAGTTAGCAAATAGGTGATTTTCTCTAATTAAGCCAGACTGTTCAGTCCTGTTCTATTAAGTACAATCTGTACCATTAAGCTTTTCTTTTGTTCTCTTATTTTCACTTTAAAAAGTTATCATGATCCAAAAGAAATCCTGTTGCTACACTCAAAGCTTTTGCTTAGTCTTGCTGGGTAATAACATATCATTACCAAAAAGTTTAAAAGAGCCTAAAAATACATACCCTGCTTGATGCTAAATTTCTTAAGTAGGTGTTCTCATAAATAAATGTCCACTGACATTTCTGAACTGAAAGGCTGTATTAAAAATGTACTTAGTTTTGTCAAAGTTTCCAGATATCAGATCCTTTTACTTTACTTGGGCCTGTAGAAAGCATTTTCATCATTATGAAATGTAATATTTTAAAGTACCTGAGTATTGTACCCTGCTAGGGCAACACATAGAACACTTAGAAGCTTCTTATAATTAGGGAATTGGCTGTATTTTTTTTTCCTTATACCTCTGCAGATGACAAAATCAGAATGAGTCAGATCTTAGACCATGGAATGAAACCATTCTGGAAGAGACATTTTAACAATGACATTATTTTGACCAGGTTAAGTTTCCTAAGTAAGAATTCTGTTTCCTTTATGAGCCTCCATTTAGTAAAAGAGATGTATATGATTCTTTTTAAACTCTTAAGCGAAACATTCGTGAAAGATATTGTTGTCTTTGTTAGAAGCCATTCAGTCAGTAATAGCTACCCCTCGTATGAGAGATCATAGCACTACTTTGGTCTTGTGCCATCCTCTCAGTCATTACACTAAGTGAGCCTTTGTTGTAACCTCCGTGTGGATGAGTCCATCTTCTTGAGGGTCCTCTTCTTTGTCCATGCATGATCTCCTACTCCAGGTCTGGTCCCTCCTGTTAACTTGTCCAAAGAACACAGTCTTGCCATCCCCACTTCCAAGGAGCATTCTGGTAAGACACATTTGTTTGTTCTTCTGGCAGTCCATGGGATAGTCAGTAGTCTTTGCCAACTAATGGAAAGCCATCACTTCTTCTCCAGTTTTGTGATTCATTGTCCAACTTTCAGATACATATGAGGTAACTGAAAATATCATGACTTGGTTCAGGTGCACTTTAGTTCTCAAAATGAAATTTTCACTTCTAACCCTTTAAAAACATTCACAGCAAATTTACCCAATGTCATATAAAAAACATAATTGTTGTTGTATTTAGCTGGCAAATTAGAACTGACCAATAGCTGACTCTCCAGTGGTTTTTCTATAAATCACATGGGAGGATACTGCCTGTCGTTCTCCCAGGAGCTAATGGTGGAACTGCTTACCTTTGGGTTGGCAGTGCAACTCCTTACCACTGGGCCACTACTCGTCACCAAAAATATAGTTAGGTAGCATGATTCTTATGTAATGCAGATATTTACTGAGCGATACTGTATTTTTAAATGTTTCTCACAGAGTTAAAAAAATAGCTGTAGACTATAAACTAGGCTTTAATTCAGGCCTTAATTTTAGAATAAGTAAACTCACCAGAATAAATAATTTTCTAGTGGCAAGAGAGATAGTCAAAGAATAGAACTATGACTGATTTGCTAAAATATTCCTTATTTTTTAAAGAATAGACTGTTTATATTGTCATTAGCCACAAAATTTCTAATTTTCAACAGAATTTAGTCAATTCAAGTATATTAAAATACATATAATCTATCTGGAGGGAACGCTGGTATTGTAGGTGGTATTGGGGTCATTGTACTGCTTAACCAAAGGAGACAGCTCTGGCGGTTCAAACCCACCAGCCACTCCACTAGAGGAAAATCAGCTCCTTTGCAATTCACAGTCTCTGAAAACACTCTGGAGGGTCAGCTATGAGCTGGTTCTGACTCCACAGCAATGAGAATAATATGTGAGTAGTGTTGCTTCGTTCACAAATGAACTCTCCATATTAGAGATTTAAAAGGGTGTATTTTCATTATATAACCTGGCTCATGGGAATTGTTTGTCTTGGGGTACCTACACTCTGCCAGCTTTTGATCTGAACAATATAATGTTCCTTCTTGGAGAGGCTTATAGAGTTAGAGCTACAGCCTCTGTGATCTCCAGACCAGGAGCACAGGGCAGTTCTGGCTGGACTGTAGGGCGCTTGTGCCACTGAGCACAACAATAATGCCTAAGCTTTCCTTAGCACAGGCCCTTCAATATCTGACCTACAACATGTTTCTTCTCTCTCAGGGGACTGCTGTGCCTTCTTTGTGGGGAAAACCACCAGTGCACACCCTTCCTCAGGAAAGATCACCAAAGAGCACCTTGCAGGGCCCTCTTCAGAATGTTCCTTTAAACACACCTGACAATCAGGAGTGTAGGACCGTGGATAATGAGCCCTCCTTCCAGAAGGCTAGTGGCAATGAAAAGCTCAGAGTCACCAGCCAGAAAACAGAGCCCATGTGCATAGGCCATTTTCACAACCGCCACGTCTTCCAGCAACAGCTGATTGAGAAGCAAAAGAAGAAACTTCAGGAACAGGAGAAAATCATTCTTGAGCTGAAGGAAAACCAGCGGCTGGCAGAGGCTCGGTGGACAGCAAAGAGTGCGTCTGCAGCCACAGATGCACGTAGCCACCAGCTGTCAAACGTCAGTGAAGAGGAACCAAGAAGAGTGTGTCAGACACTTCTTAAGTATGTTCATTGTGTCAGAAAACTGTTTAGATTGGTTTTTCAGTTTCCACTCTGGGAAAAGAGGCTCCTGAACTTCTTTGCCCTCCTTCCAGATGTCTCTCCTCTCTCAGATGATCTCTCCTTTCCTTCTCTTTTATGCCACACTCTCAGAGAAGCCCTGTACATCGTGGTGGATATGCGACAGATATAAATAGGTACTTAAGGCAAGTAAGTGGTTGCTTATAAGGTTCCAGTTATACAGTCACCATTTGTATTGTATCTGCCTTTGGCTGAGGAGCTCTGTCGCTACTCCAGTGAAAGAGAATAACAATTACATGATCTAACTAGGTTTCTGGGTCTCTGTCCATTTTCAGTGCTGAGAAAGGAGTCAGGTCATACCACATCAGGTACAGATGGAGACAATCCTAGGCTAACTAGTTACTTAGCTTAAATGTGTAGTTATTTGGAATACAGCTAAATATTACTTGCTTTTATGGAGCCTAGAATAAGATTCTAAATTTCTCAAGACCATTTACAACTGTTTCAAACATGTTTGAAACGAACAGTATGTGTGATAAATGGTGGGATGAAAAGTGTCAAACCTTCTTACTGGCAGCACAAGGATGAGAGTCATGTACCTTGCTCATGGTGTAGACTCAGGACAGTTGCTTAGCCTTTCTCTGCCTTGTTACATTTACTCATCCAGTGCGTCAAAGAATAGATAAACACCATAAAGGGTTTGAATGAATCCAGTTACTGATAGGTCTGAATTCTTTTTCGTTCTTTTCTCTTAGTTCACCTGCTGCTGCTTCTAGGACTGAGGACAAGAGAAGTGACTCCCAAAATTCTCTTTCTAGACCCAGAAGGAACACAAGGCAGCTGATGGCGCCCCATCCCATATTGAAAGGCAAGGTTGTCTTGGTGATGGGTTGGGTGGGAGTCTTCTCCTTCTCTCCAGCAGAGCATGGTGGAACTAAATCGTCACAGTCCTTGGAATGTATGCATTTAAAATTTCTGTAATCTACATCTGAGTTAATCTTGTCTGATTCACAAGTGAATTCGCAACATGAAATATTTCAGGCACATTTTCCTTGTTGCAGCTTTCCTGGCTGATGGGGATAGTATGTATAGGTGTCGTCACATTCCTACTCAGCTTCTTTGGTAATAGTGCAGCTTCTAAGAGTGACCAGAGCCTCAGATGAGTAGACACGTGAGGAATGGAGTTTCCCAGAAAGTACCGTTTTCCCCCCCCTTATGCCTTCTCAGGCTGCAGACATACAAAAATTGCTAAAGAATGTATCATTCCTGCAACTAGTAATTTGGGTTGTGGGACAATTATTGAAATTCTTACTATATTAATGAGAAAACACTGAGGATAAATACTGATAAAAATCACCCATCATTTGATTTGGTTAATAATACTCTTCCATTTATGATAATCCAAGTTATTGCCCAATTTTATGAGTTGCACCTTTGTTACAGATTTTGATTCATGAAATCTTAAAGCAGACATTTTAATCTGATAACATTTCTAATGTGTATAGAAATTGTACTATACAAAATGGTACTGTAAGAAAATGGTACTGTCAGCATTTGTCAAAACGCACCTAGTGAATCTGCTAATTATTCCTACTCAGTATTTAAGTCATTTACTGTAAATATGTATGTATGGGTGTGTATACTTATTTGTGTGTACATGTATATGCTAATGTTGTTGTGTACTATTGAGTTGGAACTGCTGACCTTCCAGTGGGTCTTCAGAGGCAGTAAATCCCATGGGAGATTGCCCACCCTCCCATGGAGCAGCTGGTGGATTCAAACCCCGTGCCTTTGGGATTGCAGCACAGCTTCTTACCACTCGGCCTTCAGAGCTCTCTATTCTGGCTTATAAATCTGCTTTTTCAGCTGTGGCACAATTAATGCTCTAACATTAATTCCATTTAACAAGCAATCAATCTCAATTAAAAAAGAAATTGACAGTCTGCATTGGCTCTCTCAGGGCAGTGGTTCATGCTACCTTTGCCCACCCTAAGACTGATCGGAAAATGCTTAATTGAATGTGAGGGCTTTGCAAGGAAAATTGTTTGATCAAAGTATAGGCATATTTTAGAGCCTGAGGTGACTTTTCCAATAACCTTCAATGACTGATGTTTGGGAAAGTAGAGAAAAGGAGCATATTTCCAGTCTCTTCTTTTCAAGAGTCTCTCACTTTGATTTTGTAGTCCCTTTCTTCCGTCTCTTAAAGATATTCTTGTACCCACCATCTTTGGCACCACCACCACTATTTTGCAGCAAATTTTGTACTTTAAGAATTAAGAGAGTGGTGAAGTTTTTTGCTTCTTAATTTTTAAAATTAGAAATTATATTTTCTTCTTTTTAATGTGGCACAGGAAACTGAGAATAACTACTATTGACTGGTTTAGGAAAGCAGAACTCTGAGCCCCTCTTTCCCATGCCGCCTTTCCTATGAAAGCCCCAAGTGATTACAGAGTCATATTATCAGAGCATCTTGCACATTTGTTTCTTTTGGATCAATACTTAGTCGACTGTCAAGAACACAAGTCTGACACTCAGATTCGTTCAGATGCCAGTTCTCCAAATGCCTGGTATCGTTCCATTTCCTGCCCATCTGGATACCCAGCCCTGAAAACTAGATTAAAATACATTCATTGTGACCCCAAACTTTAGTTTGTTTGTTGTTGTTGTTACATATACAGACATATGTATGGAGAGTTTAAAAAAAATTAGCAGACTCACTTAATGGGTTTTGAAGAATTATTTTATTCTGAAAGTATTTGTTTGCTATAATTAAATTGTCTGTAGTCATCAAATGTATTGTTAAATTAAAATTCTTATTTCTAGGTTTCAGATAATAAAAGCCTGTTATCAGGGTATATCTTATTTATGTCAGCAATCAGCTATACTAGTGAAAATGTAAAAATACCCATAATCTATAAATTAGTGATTACTGCTAAATTTGGGTTTGTAGGTCTTTACCCTGGAAAGCTACAATTTAAATTATGCATTGAAATGCATAATACTTATTTTCTGAGATTGGGAACATTCAACTTGCAACAAACTCCTAGTGGTAACATTATATTTTACTATAGAATGGTGACTTTTCTTTTGCAGTGTTCCTTATTTTGTGATATTGGAACTCTGATACTATTTTTTAGCCATGGAAGAGAGAGCAATTCAGCGAGCTGAACGTAGGCGTATCTTGGCAGAGAGGAAGAAAAAACAAGAAGAGGAAAAACTGGTAATAAATACAGAATGCAAACTGAGGCAAGCAAAATGATCTGTGTAGGTCTTTATTGAACAATAAAATCTCACTTGCTTATCCAGGTTTTTAGAGATAATAAAGTAAAGCCAACCAGCATGAACTTTGTGGAAAAATTTAGAAAGATAAAGGAAGAAAACACCAGCATCATTGCATCTTGTAGAAAGAAAACATTACAAAACTTGATGGGACCTAGCAAACAGGGAGATAAACACATAACCAAGACTAGAGTGTTGTATAGATAGATTTCTACCCTGTTAAGTTTGCAAGGGGAAATAGTTATTGCCCAAGGGGCATATTTCTCATTTTCCAAAGTTTTGTCTCAGGCTATCAGAAGAAAATTATAGCTAGCAAGACAAATGAACAGTTCCAAGAGTGACTTTTTTGATGAAAGAAAACTTTTTTTACTTTTTTTATTTCACAGTTGAAGTTAAGAATTGAAAAGAAATTGTCTTATCTTGTAAAATCGTTTTATACATCTTCCATCTCTGATGGGTCAGCTTCCATACTGCAGTATGTAGTCCATGCTTGACTTTCCTCATCATAAAAGAGTGTTTTTCCATACAAATGGGAAATTTCTCATTTTCACAAATTCTAATCTTCATCAGGCCCAATTAAAAGCCCAAGAGGAGGAACGTCAGAAGAGGGAGGTGGAAGAAAAAATTGCTCAGCTTGAAAGAAGGCGAGAAGAAAAGAGACTGAAGAAAATGGTTAGTAGTGTCTGTCTGGTCATCTAACTTAATCATTCAACTTGCCTATTATGTGCAATACTTTGATGCTGTTCACCTGTCCCACCCCAGATTATCTGTCTGGAACATTCTCCTCCTCTCTAGTCTCTTTAACTACCACATCTTCAGATCTTAACTCAAACATGGCGTCTTCCAGAAGTCTTTAATCTTTCTTACCCACCCCACTCTCTTCCATATCCCAAGGTGAGTTAAATCCTACTTTATCACATAATATTATCTTTCCTTCAGATCACTATCAGTGCTTGTAAGGACAAATATATTTTGTGATTGTTTTTTTACTTTCTGCATCCCCAACTAAATGATAATTGCCACACAGCCAAGGCACCAGTCTTGGTTTCTTACTGGTTTTTTTCATTCTGTGCTAGTGTGCCTAGTATAAAATAAGATCTAGGAAATGTGCTGAATACATGAATAAGTGAAGGAACAAGTGGAGGGAAACACACACACACACACACACACACACACACACAGGTAAGGAACAAAGCTGTTACTTTCAAGGATATTATAATTAAAAGATAAGACCAAAAATTCCAAACCTGCCACATCAGCCAGAATAGCTGACAGTAGAAGGCAAGATCTGTTGAGATTATTGAGAAATTAAGAAATTTTCATAGAAATCTTCCTTTACTATGCAAGCAGGCATTATGACTCTTCAGAGTAAACACACTGTATTTCAAGTTGCCACATATTATCTAACCATAGAACCCTCTAGGGACCATGCTACTACAAACCACTTAGACAGTTTTTTAAATATAGCATAAAAATGCTGTCCTTTCATAGTGAAAATAATCTCTACTCATTGTAGAAAGGTTAAGAAATATTAAAACAACTGTGTAAAAAAGAGTATTGGCAACTTGAGAATGGCCGAGTCTGACCTTTATAAAGGTTAGAATTGGTCCCCCCCGCCGCCCCCTTTCCTGTTTCTACTAATTCCAACACCAATATTAACTGCTCATCAAGGTCCGAAAGCAACTGGAGTAGCTTACAGACCACACAGAACAATTATGGGGTTTATTAGGGAATACAATACCAGAATACAGTTTCTTAGTCAGGACAGCTTCTGAAGTGTGCTCACAGGCCCTTCAGCCTTCAGCCTTGCAGCTTGAGGCTGGTGTTAACAAAACACTGGTAGTCCTGCAAATTATGATGTTTCCCCATAAATTCTCCAGCAAGCTTGAGCAAAGGCTCTTGGTTCTGGTTCCAAAGAGTAGCAGTCCCAGCTGCTGCTGTAATTGCTCTCCACTAGGCTGGCATAATAATCTCTTGCCTGAAGGGCATGTACTGCATTTACTGCTGCTGCTTTGCTGCTGAAAATTCATTCTCAATTCCTGCTATTGAATCCTCTCAATTCAATGACTGGAGCAGTCCATTAACAGAGAACTGCAACTTCCCTCCTGACAATGTGAAGCCTGGCATCCACCATACATTTAGTTATTTGTCCAACTCCAGTATAGCTATAGGCCGTTTTAGAACTATTAACCAACTTGAAAAACAAATTTGCCTTATAGAGTATAATGTTTTTATACAGTCCATTTTTATTTTAACTTTACTTGTGATTGTTGCCATCGAGTTGATTCCAACTCTTGGTGATGTTACAGGACAAATTGCAGTTGTCCCATAGGGTTTCCAAGACTGTAATCTTCACGTGAGCAGATTGCCACACCGTTCTCCCGCAGAACGGCTGTTGTGTTCTAATCACCTACTTTTTTGTTAACAGCCTAGCAACACCTTTAACTTTTAAAGCAATTGCTTAAAATTGCTTTTAAAGCAATTCCTTTAACTTCATAGTTGCCAGTAAAAGCATAATTTTCCATAGTTAACTTAGGTCAACTGCTATTTTTCCCCCTACCTCTTTGAGCACAGTTTTGCCATCCATTTGTAATGATCTACATTCCATATTGGAATCCCTGACATCCTGATTGATATTTCTGTTTGTGTGCCAGGATTAAATTCAGTCTTTGTGGTGTACAATTCTTTGGATTTTAACAATGCTTATAATTAGGCATCTATCATCTTATATTATCTAAAACAGTTCATTCACCCTAAAAGGTTTTTTGTGGGTTAATTTTTAATAAATACTTCCCCGCACCCGTAGCCTCTGGAAACCATTGCTCTATTGTCCCTATGGTTTTACCTTTTCCATAAGGTCATATGAATGAATGGACTTATACAATATGACTTCTTTTATTTAGCAGAATTACTTGAAATTTATTCATATTATTGCATGAATAAAAAGTTATTAATTTCTTTTTTATTCCAAGCAGTAGTAATTCATCTGGATTTTTTTTCACCATTATTTCATTATCTGAATTGTTTGTCTATTCATCTGTTAAAATTATTTCCAGTTTTTGTTACCAATGAATGAAACTTCTATAAACATTCATGCCTAGGTTTTTACTTAGACATATGTTGAATTCACTTAAGTAAATAATTAGCTATCTGCTGGGCAGTGTGGTACTCCTGTATTTAACTTAGCTAGACTGTCTTCAAAAATGACTCTATAGTTTTTCATCCCCCTGGCCCTAGTAATGAATTGTATATCCTGTGGCTCTCTACTGTCATCAGCAACTGTAATTGTGGGTTGTTTTGTTTACTTGCATTTCTCTATTGCTAAATAGAGCTCTGGTGGGCTAGTGGCAAGAGGCTGTGCTGCAATCCCAAAGGCATGCGGTTTGAGGCCATCAGCGGCTCTGTGGGAGAGAAGGTTGGATGGGCAGTCTGCTCCCATGCGATTAACTGCCTCTGAAAATCCACCAGAGACTCTATGATACACAACAAGTGATAAATACTGCTGAAAATCTTTTCATGCTTCTTTGTTGTCTGTATATCCTCTGTAGTGAAATATCTCCTCAGATCTTTTACCTAGTGTTTTAGTTGTTTTCCTGTTATTAAGTTTTAAGAGTTCTTGATATATCCTGAATCAAGTCTTTTACTCGTTACATGATTTTAAAATGTTTTCTCCCTGTCTATAGCTTGGATTTTAATTCACTTAACATTGTTTTCCACAGAGGGAAAAAAATTTCCATTTTTTAAGAATAGATGTTTACTTTTGCCAGCACTGTTTGTTGACTGTTGTTGTGTGCTTTTGAATCAGAACTGACCCATTTCTGACCCTTCAGTTGGTTTTCAGAGGCAGTAAATCATGTGGAAGAATGCCCTCCTTCTCCCACAGAGCAACTAGTGGATTCAAATTGTATGCCTTTGGGATTACAGCACAGCTTCTTACCATTGGGCCACCAGAGCTTCCTATTTGTTGACTAAGCTGTCATTTTCTCCATTCAGCAGAGTTCATCTGTTTGTCAAAGATCAGTTGTCCATGAGTGGATTTACATTTGGATTATCAGTTTCATTCCATTGATCTGAGTATCTGTCTCTGTACCACAACCATGTTGCTTTCATTACCATGGCAGTGTAGTAAGTTGTGAGATTCAAAGTTTATGAGCTCCTATTAATGTTTTCCTTCTTCAGTAGTGCTTTGCTTATCTGCAGTCTCATTTTCTATAAAACTTGGTGCTTACTTTCTCCATCTCTGTGAACAATGATGACTGGATCCAAATTGAAGTTGCTAGGTATGTAGATTGCTTTTGATAGTACTGAGATTAACTCACACAACAGCTTCTTGGTCTCGTTAGAGGTTTTACATGAGTACCGTTAAGTGCTTTGAGATTCCCATTCTTCTCAATTTAGCCATAATTTGTTATGATCCACACAGTCACATGTCTTTGCATAATCAATAAAGCATAAATAGACATTCTTCTGGTATTCTTTACTTTTAGCCAGGAACCTTCAGACTTCAACAATGATCTCCCTGGTGCCATGGCCACTTCTAAAGTCTACTTTAACTTCTGGAAGTTCTTCTTAGCCTTTCTCTGATGAATTTTATAGTCTTTGATTTTTCTTCTAGGTCCTTGATCCACCTTGAGTAGGTTTTTGTGTATGAAGTGAGTTGAGGGTCTTGCTTAAGTTCTCGGCACGTAGTTTTCCAATTTTGACAACACCATTTGTTAAAGAGATTGACATTTCCCCACTTAACTGATTTTGTGTCCTTGTCAAAGATCAGTTGACCATAGGTAGATGAGCCCTGATTTCTGGATTCTCAATTCTATTCTATTGATTTATGTGTGTCACTGTACCAGTACCATGCTGTCTTCATTACCACAGCTGTGTAGTGGGAATTGAGATCAGGGGTTATGATGCCTCCTACCTTGTTTTTTTTTTCAGTAATGTTTTGCTTATTCAGGGTCTCTTTCCATTTCAGATAAAATTAGAAATTGCCTTTTCTATCTCATTAAAGAATAGAACTGGTATCTTTCTCAGGATTGCACTTTTAGATTGCTTTGGAGAATTGTCATTTTCACGATATTAAGTCTTTCATGAGCATGGTATATTCTTATCCAGGTCTGTTTTTGTTTCTTGTAGTAATCTTATAATTTTCTTTGAACAGGTCTTTGTGTCTTTAATTAGATTTATTTCCAAGTATTTAATCTTGTGATTAGCTATTGTAATCAGTGTTGTTTTCTTAGCTCCATTTCTATATTCTCTTTGTCACTGTAGAAAAATCCAACTGATTTTTATATGTTCTTGTACCCTACTACTTGGCTGACTTAGTCGACTATATCCAATAGTTTTACTTCATCTTTGGTGTTTTCTAAGTATGCTATCATATCATCTGTATAAAGATAGTTTGACCTCCTTTTTGCCAATTTGTATACCTTTCATTTCTTTGTATTGTCTTATCCTCTCACTAATACTCGCTAATACTTCCAGTATTATATTGAATAGGAGAGGTGATAATGGGCATTCTTGCTTGTTCTCAAGGAGAATGAATGTCTTTAATATCCCTCTATTGAGAAAGATGTAGGCTCTTGGTTTTGCATATATACTTTTTTATGTCATTTGTTTTCTTTTTTAATTTTTTATTGATATTTTAATGAAAGATTACAGAAAACTTGAATATCCCT